TAGCACAACTTCATAGCTTTTGAAAGTAAGCTTTAGAGACTGTTTTCTACTAATTGAAAGTGTTACCTTCATTACTTCTAGACTAATGTTGTTCATGCACCAGTGGAAATTGACACATGCTAAAGAGCTCAATTGAAAATTTATTGCATTAACAGATCCAAGATAGGACCCAAAGACCTTGACCACATGAAATGTCAATCTAAATTTTTTGAGCTGCTCTTGACTAAAAAGTAAACATAAATTAAACAAGCCTCTAGCTTCTTAAGGCAAAGAAGCAGAGAACTAAAAGAATCAAATGTATTTAGTATGGTTCAGGGCAGATGACAATTAGTTTTTCTTTTTTTCTATTTTGAAAAAGCCCATCTTTCACAGCAATGTAGCTGTAAAGTAAGTCTACAATGAAAATTGCAGTCAACTCACAAAACAACCTTGGAAGAGTTGTAAATCCTTGATATTAAAAAAAAAAAAAATTAATTCAACTAAGCTAAAAACCTAATCTGACTCCAGCTCTCTAGTATTAGCGAAACTTCATCTCATTCGGTTTGCTGCCCCTAAACGCTGAAAGAGAGAAGAATGACCTTGTTGCTAAAACACAAAAAAATAGTACACAGTATTGGAATCTTATATAAGAGAATTAGAATTGGTGCATCAAAATTCTAGTATACAACTGCAGAAAAGAATTTACAGTAAGAAACAATAGAAAAACAATAATGCATGTATATATTCTAGTCATGTGTGAAACCTTTAGTCACAGGTGCGTCGTGGCTCTCTTGCAACTTGTGTGAACAACTCTGGCCATCAAATTTGCTAATATTTGATTTGAGCTGTATGCACAAACCCACAATGGTTAGAGCATGAGACTTCGCTAGGAATATGAAAGAATATAACTACAGCGTCAACCCCCATTTAAGTGCATGAGTTATTCAGGGGAGGCAAACAATGGACATCCAAACAACTATTCTACTTTTCTCTAAATACCACCTGCATTTTTCTACAATCTACTTCAAAAACAAATTAAAGCAAAGATTGGCTAGGAAAATATTAAAGGAGAAAAAGAAACAAAAGGAGGATGGAATTAAGCAATGAAAAGAGGAAACTCAGAAATTCCAAGTACTATAACCCAACCCTCCAGCACGAATATACTCAGATTCAACTAAAAAAGGATACCTTAATTAATATGAAAACCGAATCCAATACCACAGATTTTTAACCACAGCTCAAACCAAAACACAAGATCAAATTCACAACCAAACCGAATCTGAAATCATTCCAAATTATAAACAAACAAAAAATTAAAATCACAATTCAAAACTCAAATGAATATCAATACAAATTACCTAAGTGGCCAAAATCGAATCGTCATCGAGATGCTATCCCCACCGCTTTCACGATGACTGCCACCTTAGTAGCCAAAGCCGCCATATCCTCCGCGGCTGTAACCTCCGTTACCCCTACCACCACCGCCGATTCTACGAGATTGGGCCTCATTGAAGGTGATGTTACGACCGTCGAGGTTCTGGCCGTTTATGCCATCGATCGCGTCCCTCATGGTCTTCTCGTTGTTGAAGGTGACGAAGCCGAAGCCCCTGAACATCTCGGTCTCACGGTCGTTGATGATCTTCGATTCGATGACCAAACCAAACGGAGAAAAGGCCTCCGCAACGCATCATTGTTGGTGGAGGAAAGAGTCGGCCTCATGGATCAGGACCCGAGTCCACCTCCTGAGTTGTAAAATGACCTTGCCTGTGACTGAGATGCAAGAGATTGAGCTATGAGATATGGAAATAGCTGCAAGATCTGTGAGAAAGCAAGTGAGAGATCCAAAAAGCAATGAAAATTGGAGATGCGGCTCCGACGGTGAGGTTAGTTAAATCGGCCGCTCGTCGATTTCTCACAGACCAGCTCCAAGATTTTGAAGGAGCAATTGTCGATTATCTTAATTGAGCCTCGGAGCTGGGTTTATTTTGGGCAAAGGGCAAAACAATAATCCAACATTGCTATTAAATTTAAAAAATCGACAGCTGTCGATTTTTGGGTTTATTTTGGGTGTGTTTCTATACTTTAAATTGTATAGGGTATATTTATAGTTTCATATCTAGGAATGAGTATTTCACTAATTTTCTATAATAATTACTCGTTTCCGTTGATTGTGGCTTGCAGATTGTGTCATTAGTGGCAAGTCATGTTGTGCTATAAAAGTGTGATGTGATGATCTTGGCCTTTTTCAAGGAATGGGCGGCGGATTGGTCAGTATCGATTTGTACAGCAGGTCCCCCAATTTTAAGGCCCAGAATAAAGTTGTGCAACTGAGGATAAAAAAACTTTTCAATTTAGATCACAAACATTAACAAATTAACGACAAAAATTACTTAAGTCTAGCAAACCATGGATGATTTATTTATTTATTTATAGATTCATAGATAGATATATATTCTTAATTACTCGTTTGAGACTGCATCTTTAAGAATCACTTTTGTTCATAAGCGCTTCTAGCAAAAGTATTTTTATTATAAAATTGATTTGGCAATAGTTGCCAATGCGTTGAGTGATGATAATCAACCCAAATTTTCACCGAATTTATTTGTTATGATCCAATTTGTAAAAATACGACAACGCAATAATTTATATTTCATACCAAATCAAACCATTAGTCCGATAAAAACGATTGTTTTTTTTTTTCGGACACTTGTTTTCCTTCATGTTAGGTTTTTTGGGCACAAATGTCATCTATAAATACTAGCTACTTTTTGTCTATCTAGTCGTGTTAATTAATGACTTTTCAACCTAGTTCCCCATCAAGTATGAACGAATCAAAATGAAAGTGACAGTGAGAAATGGATATGAAGGGTCACAGGTCACTTATACAATACAAGTTGTACATTCCTTTAAACTATAACGTAGGAAACAATTGATTGATTTGGATAATGGTTGCTTCCCACAAAACACCAATCTCTTGTCACCACCAATGTGCCTCCGTGATTTTACAGCCCACAGTAAGGCCAAATACGCCAAGTCTCTGTCACGAGAGTTCTAATTAACAATATGCCCCATTCACATTTCCCATGTATTCCAAAAATAGCGAAACATAATGAAATATGATCACTAATTATATTTTCTTTATTGGTATAAACTTAAGTCCAAAATGATTTCAGTTTTATATTTAATGTTTTGTTTTAAGATGCATGTGACAAAGATAATTAAACTAAAGTATGAAATGATGATGTATTGTCGGATTGGTAATGTTTTTCTTGTTAGACTTAGGACCCGTTTGAGACTGCTTTTTCAAAAAGCACTTATGTTCATAAGAGCTTTTAATAAAAGCGTTTTTGTTATAAAGTTGTTGAAAATTTTATAGAAAATCGAAATGCTTCTTGAAAAAGCACTTGTGAGTGCTGCTTAAAGAAGCACATGTCAAGTGCTTCTCTAGAAAGCGCTTCTATGGCCTAGAAGAACTTCTAAACTTTTCTGCCAAATATTGTTCGACACACTTTTGGTTGTCATAAAGTACTTTTAGCCCTTCTAGAAGCACTCCCAAACGAGCCCTTATATTGTCACAAATATTTATTTTGACAAATTGTAAATCTAGGGCCGGGCCGCACATTCAGACAAGAACCAACCTAGTCAATGGTCCGGATTTACAAGTGTAATTATCTTATGTTGCACGAGTAAGGCCATGGCCACAAGTGGGCAAGAGTAAGACAAGCCACCAACCTCTAAGTTCGCTTGCTATATAAGGCCATGGCCACAAACCATCTTTCGCACACCAAGAAACTAAAGAGTAGACATGGCAGCATACAAAAAGCTTGTGGCTATTGTGGCGTTGTTTTTGGCACTGGCCATTGGGTCTGAGGCCAATGAGCAGGTCCAGATAACTTTTTGCCGTCTGACAAAAGAGGGTTTGAATGCATGTGCTCCATCAGTGAGCGGCCTAAACCCTCTGCCTCCCTCAGCTCTGTGTTGCTCAGCTCTTTCCATCGCTGACTTCCAGTGCCTTTGCTTCTTCAAGAACTACTCAAACCTTTTGACTTCCTATGGCATCGACCCCAACCTTGCCATGCAGCTTCCTGCCAAATGCAATCTTCGCCAGACAGTCCATTGTTAAGAATATTATTGTGTAAGAACGTAAAAGTGATTGCATGGAATATTCATGCATGAAATCGATCTGTTTCAGTTTTTCTGGAACTTGAAGCTTTCTTGGGTTTTTGCGTTTTGCTTTAGTTTGTTGTGTGCTGTTCTTTTGAGCTATTTGTTGTTTGTTTTGTGTAGCTCGATCTGGTTTAATTTTTTTTTATTTTTAAGGTTATTATGTAATGTTGATTGTCCTTGTAAAACTATATTTGGTTTTCTCTTCTGTCTTGTTTAGTTCATGTGACTTCATGGGGCTGAGGTGATTCAAAATTCAAATTAGTATATGACAAAATGGAGGGATTTATAAATGAGAACCCTCACACCAATTTCTATTGTTGAATTCAATTGGAAGTATCATGCATGATCTTTGTCTTTCCTTCAATTATTGTTGAATTCAATTACTAGTCTTTTCCTTTGATTAAGAGAACAAATACCACTTAATAAAAGAGAGAGAGAGAGAGAGAGAGAGAGAGAGAGAGAGTAATAAACTAACAACAACAATCTATGGGGTAGGAATAAGCAAATAATAAAATTATTATCACCAAATAATTAAGCAATATAATTTAGTAGAAGGTATTGTTATAACCGTGCTGTTTCATAACGCAACATTTTGATTTCCTTATTCACAAGGATTGAGGTACTTAAATACAAGTTAAACAAACAAATACAAACTCTTCTTTGCCTCCTGTCAAATGCCAAAGCAATATTTGATGCTTGTGCTTATGACTGTATGACTTTGGATCATCACCAAATTTTATTTCTCCATGCTGCAGCTAGCAAAAAGGATACAGACAGGTTATTGTATGAATCTTTCATAACTTCCAGTTGGGTACTGCAGGTGTTCACGGTGAGGGCCTGATTTCTGCTACCTCTCAAGGGTCGTTGACTTTACAGCTTTGCAATCTAACCAAACCTAACCAATCTGCTACAGCCAAATCATTATAGTAACCAACGAGGATATCTGGGCCGTGTAAAATGCACTGGATGATTGTCTGAACAAACCCTTCTAAATCTTTCTGGTACAGAACACGAAAGCCATACATTTTAAGCTCCGCACCAGGACTCTGCAAAAAAGTAGTGCGGATGCGACTTGAATGAGTAAACTGTTCGGGGAACTGTGCTCGCGGTATGTAAATAACCCAAAGTTGACTTGCATAAGATTCAGACGAGCTTAAATCAATGTTCAGCTCTGTATCAATGTCTTCCATTCGGAATCGACAAGTAAAATGATAACACGCCTCCCTTAATTTATTTCTGTCCACTGCAAGTGAAACACATAGAGCAAATCCCATCCACTTCTTACACTTGTGTAGATTCGGAGGTAGCTCAATTGACACGGAGGACCCAAGCCACTCTGGGGAACCACTTAGGAAAAACTGATAGGGTTGACATGCATGCTTTAGTACCTGCAGGAAAATATAGGTCAAATAATGTTTAATTTTTGAGAGAGAGAGAGAGAGACCTGAAGGTATCTTCGAAGAAGGGACTCAAGGTTCCTTATCAGCAGAATTTTGGAGCCTTCTTCATAAGTTTCCCATTTTGTCATTGCCTCAAGATAGACACTAATAGGACTTTGCAATGCCAAATTTAACCTATGTTTTACCACATAATGATCACAAATTTCAAAAGGGGTATCCAAGGTGCATGACATGCAGTGGGTAACTGTCTCGACAAACCCTTGTAAATCTTGCTGGTACAAAATACGGAATCCACAGATTTGAACCTCTAAACAAGGGGTATCTGTTCTAAACGAAGTCCAGATCATGCTAGTTGGACTTGCTCCCATAAAGTAGTGTTCTGGAAACCGTGTCCATGGAATGTAAGCGACCACAAGTCCATCTTTATAATCAGATATTCCGTAGAGAGACCTGTTCTGTTAACAACTGTAGCTACTTCTACAAAAAATTTATTGATTTGGAGATGACAGGAAAAACTAAAGGGCTGTTTTAGTTTACGCCGGTCTACTGCAAGTGACGCGCATAGAGCAAATCCCATCCACTTCTTGTTCTTGTGTAGATTCTCAGGAAGCTTGATTGACAGAGAGGACCCCACTTCAGGATGGAACCACGCTGGGATCCCACTAAGGTAAAAATAGTAGAATTGACACTTATGGGTCTCCTGCAGGAAATTGAAGATGAAATAATGAGTCTAATTTCACAGAGAGAGAGAGAGAGAGAGAGACAGAGACAGACCTCAATATGTGTCTGAACATTGTTCTTTCTCAGCAGAATTACAGAGCTTTCTTCAGAAGTTGGAACTGATCTCCCCCTGCAATCAAATATACAAGAGAAAAATTCAAAGCACGAAGTCATAGAATGAATACTATGTCACATCAATGATGAACAAGTTTAAATTAAGAAGTAATGTACTTCTCAGAAAATTAAATTCTACCATCTCCAAAATTTGTCCACTAGTTTAAACCAACCAGATTCCAATGTAGCTTCATAATCTTTGTTTAGATTGCAATTTGAACCATCAAAATACTGCATGAATGTTTCGATAAACCCTGGAACATCTTGCTTGTATAGTAGACGAATCCCACACTTATGGACCTTTACGTATGTTGTAGCGCTTCTAAATTAAGCCCACAACACACCTGATTTATTTAACATCTTTGAAATGTGCAGACAAGGTACATAAACCACACAAAAAAGCCGAGGTTTAAATGTAATGAACTTGTGAAACAATTGGGCAGAGGCAAGGAGGTCTGGTTCCATTGCAAATTCCTCAGTCCCCAATGTGCAATGATATAAGTAAAAAGTTTCTGAATTTGAATCAATCTGATTCATTAGTTCTAGTTCCACTTCAGATTCATGAGTCCTCTTGACTGAAAAAGCAACACATAGGGCAACCCCCATCCAGTTCCTATCATCCTTCAAATCTTGAGATAGCTGGAGTTCGATGTAATTCCCGCTAACTATATGGTTGAACCATTCTGGAATAATACCTTCAAGATTACAAACAGCCTGTATGGGACGTGACCTATAATCTAATAACTGTGAAGATAAAAGAAAAGATGATTATCAGTTATGAAAAGCACAGAGGCTCAGTGATTTTTTTTATATCTTTGTGCGTGTGTGCGCAAATCAGAGAGAGAGAGAGAGAGAGAGAGAGAGAGAGAGAGAGACTTCAAAGTCTTTTCGAAGAATTTCAGTTGGCATTTGAAAATGATCAATCAGACTCTGTTCTTCATGCTCATCTGATATGAGGAGACTGAAGTCAGCACTTCCCAGGACAGATGATGATGGAGTCCACAGTTTTTTATAATTCAAGGTAGAAAGTTCATGATTCTGGGAAGAATTGAAGCAATTGAAAGTAGTTGTTCCTGAGACAGGTGAAGCCCATATTTTGAACTCATTTGGGCACTCACGTGTTGAAGACTTGATGGAAGTTCCTTAGGCATCAATTGAAGCCTACCACAATTGCTCACGTCCAGATGTTTAAGCTTTGAGAGTTGAGAGAAGCTTTGAGGTAGCTGAACAAACTTATTACCACTTAAATTTAATATTTCTAAGGAGTATAAGCTTGCAAGACCATTAAGAAGTGCTCCCTCTATCAAATTGCAGTCACTTAAGTTTAGATTTTTCAAAGAACTTAAACCTGAGAATAAAGTAGGCACATTACTAGGTAAGCAATAAATTTATGGGAACATACATGAATGATCCCTTCCACCCCACCACCAAAAATTAAAGGCTAATGTCGAACAATCGACAATGACTGTTTATACCTGCAAAGGATGATGTTTGGCTTAAAGCAGTTCCACTTAGATCAAGCATCTCCAGAAATTCAAACCAATTAAGATTCTCAGGTATGCCATCAAGTTTTGAGCAACCTGCTAGAATGAGACTTTTCAGAGATCTCAAATATTGAATGCTACTAGGAAGACACAAAAGGTCTTTGCAGTCGCCTAAATTCAAACAAGTAAGACCAGTCAAAAGTCCAAATGATGGAGGTAATTCTTCTATGGCAGTCCCATCTAGATTAAGCTCCAATAAGCTTTCCATATTTCCTTCAATGTCGGGAAACTTCTTGAGGCTTGAACAGGCGGACAGAGTGAGACTTTTAAGAGATTCCAAGCTAATGAAAGGCGGAAGCCTCTCAACAGATTTGCAGTATCTCATATTCAGCAAAGTAAGTTTTTTAAGAAGTCCGATGGACGGATGAACTGTAACCAATCTTGTACAACCTTGAAGCACAAGATTTGCAGGTGTCTCAAGATTTGGAACCTCTTTGAAGTTTGGGGTCATGATCAAATATTGCGAATCACTTAGATCAATGAATTGAAGCATGCTCCAGCACTGATATAATTTGAAAAACAAAAGTGATTGAGAAATTAATAAGAATAAGCCTTGAGGTTTCCAGTCAAGCGTTTTTTCCTATTGGGTTAATGGTATAGTGTTATTTTCTGTACTTTTGGTCAGAGGAAAAGAACAAACAAACCACAGAGAAACACAGACATAGGCAAGAGTAAAGAAGTCCAAACCCACAATACAACCGATGCGAAACCAAAACAGATCCTGATAGTCATTTCTTGTACATTAAGCTATTATGAAATAAAAGACTGCCAAATATAATACATTTACATTTGTTTAAATTTCTTTCAATAAAATAAGTTTAAAATACATAATTGGAAAGCGTAGCTCTGCATCTGCTTCTAGTTTATAACATATATTTAATAATATAAACATGCATACGATTAATATTAATGATCTGACCTTTTCTCCCTCCCATAGTTGTTCAATGCGGCTTGAATACAAGTTGAGTTCAACAAGCTTATCTGATTCAAAGTCTGATGGCAAAGAATTTAAAGGACACTCATGCCATTCCAGAAATTGTAACTCATTCGAAAGATATTCGATGTTTCCATGAAAGTTCCCATTCCAAATCTTGAGCAATCTTAAATTGTCCATCTTTGAGAAGGCATTCACATTTAAGTTCACCTCTTTTTTATTTTTTGGTGCAAGAACCTCCTCTTTTTTTGGAAATTTGAGGAATATGCTTTCTATTGCGCTGGTTCCCTAATAAAGAAGAACCAAGAATAAGTTGCTGCACAAGTTATAGCAAAATACAAAGGAGATTTAATAAATACATTTTAACAATCTTAGAGTCTATGTGTGTGCTCATTTGACTTCTTACCTTATTATTTGCAAGTACAGGGATGATATCCTTGGAAAGCCACAACCTGCTACGTTCTCCGGGCCTCTCACGACATTCTCGACGAACAATTTCCCAACCCAATTCTTGTATCAAATCATGCATCCACAAATTTCTTCCAAATAGAGTTACTAGAGATTTTTCCACGAGAACGTCTATATCAATTTCCGGACGGTAGCCACAACTAGTTTCTAATATTCTTATTACACGATCTTTGTTCTCACCCTTAAAGAAGCAGGCAATGTCCAAAAAAACTTTTTTTCTGTTTCCAATGATAATCCATCATAACTCACTTTAAGGACATCAACGATTTTTTTCTCACGATTTTCTTTTAGTCTATCCAATGCACTTGACCATGTGCTTTGTGGCCTATTACAAAGGAAAGAACCCAAAGCTTTAATAGCTAATGGAAGGCCCTTAGCATATGTTAAAAAGTCCTTGGATAGCATTAGAAAACTTTCCTCAACCTGATGTTTTTGAAAGGATTTCCAACTAAAGAGCTGAAGAGCTTCATCATTAATTAACAGCTTAACCTGATATATTTTCTCTGCATATCTGTGTAGCACATGTTCATCTGTTGATGTTATGATGATTCTACTCCCTGGACCAAACCAAGTCCGATCACATAGTGCTTCCACTTGCTCAACCTCATCCACATCATCAACAATAATAAGAGCCTTTTTATTACGTAGTCTATGCCCTATTACATCTTCCATATCAATATTTTGTATCTTTACATTGCTTTTCAGCAAGTCTGAAAGAAGTTGCTCTTATAAATGTTCTAGACCTTGCTTTTCAGTTGCCTCTCTAACATTGGCTAGATAGCTGTAACCTTCAAACCGAGCACGTATTCTTTTAGCAACTACTCGTGCAAGAGTTGTCTTGCCAATTCCCTTCATCCCCCAAATCCCTATGATACGAACATCAAGCAACCCTATCTCTAAGAAAGAAAGCAGTTCTTCTATATGAGAATCCATCGCAACTAAATCCTTGGATTCACTTAGAATTGTTTGGTTTAATCTAGTGAAACTCATTCCTACAATATCTTCAACAACTTCCGATTCAGGTCTGCAAATAAATAAATGAAACATTTATGTAGAAGGTAAAGCAAAACAGTTATATATATAATGGAAAATTAAAAATGGATCATAGATTTTATCTTTTTATTAGTTTGAGTACAACTACTAGTATTTAATTACGAAGAGCTATTTCTTTCCATGGTTATAGAACTTTTCTCATAAAGGTAGCTATTAGATAACTTTGGTCCAAGGAAGTCATGAGCTAAGATGGTTAATGAGGGTTGCTCCACAGGATTTGAGGCAATGCTTTCCCTGGTTGATTGATTATTAAATGCCTTCTGGAGATGAGAAATAGAAAGCTTGAAGGCCTACCGACAATTGAGGGGAAATCATAAATGTTCCGTGGAATCTCAAGTCCAAAAGTTGGGAGGCTAAGATAGTGATTGTCAAAGAGACCTTGTGACATTGGATCGATCAGCGAAAAAGGTTTGTTCTAGAACTATGAATGGCTGAGATTTGTGGTTGAAACCTAAAACACTCTTTTCATTATTATACAACCAAGCACTCTATCAACTTGCATTCTCAAATTTAGCTATCGTTAGGATCGATTTGGTGATCTACATCGCTTGTTTGATTACACAATCTTAATCTTAGGCTTGCCATCTTTAAGTTTACTTAAAGTCTCAGTTCTTCTTTGACATCTCAAGTTGTTTACAATTGACTTTCATTGATCAAGTCCTTTATATCATTCCAGGAATAACAAAAGGCTTGGGAAGTTTAATTTGTTCTCTATACTTCTGTTGCAATAGTTGATTTAGTAGTTACACTTGTACGCATTCTTTACAGTCAAAAAAATAAATAAAATTGGAGGTCAGAATACACATCCAATTTTTTTTATAATCAATTTTGTGGGAACAAGGGGGTGTGGGATGGTTCGATGACTTAGAACCTCTACCAACATTGACAAGAGAAATACCACTAGAACAAGACCAAGTTTGTCAATACACAGTTAATTTTTGGTGTACTACATTTGCTCCCTAAACAAACTCATTTGGATCTCTGAATGCTTTGATAACAAAAGATAGCTAGGTACTTAAGATACAATTATTTTAAAAAAATTGTCTTACATTAGGTAGCTGTGTATTAAAAAGTGAAAACAAAAAAGAAATTATACATCATCAAAGTAACTTAGTACAACCACTAAACGAGTAATTAATAGTGAATAATATGTTTTCATAAAAAAAAATAACAAAGACCAAAACATGATCAATAATATGGCCATATATATGTTCACTCACTACTTCCATCCACATATATGTACACTCCAGATTATTGTTTCTGAAATTCTGGTTGATCATATATCTGGTCGTCCTGTGTAGTATAAAGAATTCCATGCATGTGTTATTGATGTGTGTGTATGGAAGAGCCTGCAGTTATTTTTATTTTTATTTTTTATTTGTTATTTATTTTTTAGAACAAGAAAAAGCAAAAAAGCTTTCAGGTACAAACAGGAAAAATTAATTAATAGAAGAATAGTTTACGTACCCATCTTTCAAATGCCATCCAGCAAGATTGGCTACCGCAATAAGTGCATCTCTCCAGCTTTGCACCTTCTCTTTCTTGTCTTCAAAGGTTTCTTCATGCTTTAGAAACTAGGAAATTGCAGAATTAATGTAATCATGCATTCTTTTTATCTTTTCATATGCAGATCACTCAAATGGAACGAGTCCACCAATCAATCTGTTTTTCTAGACTATGTTAATGTGAGCAGACAGTGAATCATTAATAAAAACTGATCCAAACGAGGGCAAACAGTTGTTTTAAGCAATTTGGTAAGTATTTTAAATCGAGTATGTTATAAATTAATACCATATGGGAGCCAGAAAAAGACATGCTGATGCTTGTTTGATCAAGGCTTCACAACTTACATGATGACTTTCAATTTTTTAATGCATGATCATGCTCATACATTAGATATTTACTAGTCCAATCAAACTCCCACGATAAATTTATATTATTATTATTATTAGGTCTTGAAATTCAAACTAGTACAGCCTCTCCTTCCCTTCGAGTGACTGATAGGCTGAAAGAGCTCACCAGAGAAACAGAGAAGAATGGTGAAGAAGAAGTAGGATGCTTGAAGCGGAGGCCATTGAGGGAGAGTGGCAGCTCAAGTGGAAATCGTCTATCTAAATTCTGCTGCACGTTGGAGGATCGTCCTAGAATAAATGGTATTGCTTGCTTGTTTCAATCCAAAGTGTTATTTCTTCTGCTTTATGTTTTATTTTCCGACGTGTCAGTACAATAAGCAATTGATTGAATAGCTATGTTTCCACAGGATCCAATTTTTATTCACTATTATCCTTTTTTAAAATTATGAAGCACAACGATTCAAACATAAAAAATTTCAAAAGGGAGAAAAAAAAGAGAGAGAATGTATCAACAAAAGAAAAAAAAAAAAAAATTCTTTCACATATATTAGAAAGAAAAGAAAACGCGCGCCTCTTCAACAATTTTGGGATGCTCAAATAGACGAGTCATATCATAAAAAGTCTCTTTAATAACCTTGTCAAAGACAGTCTTCAAAGCTAACATCTTTCTCTCTCTTCATGATTCGTAAGTTGATATTGGCTCTTCAAAACATTTAATTTTACTTTTGAAAAATAAAACATACCTTGAAAGTGTTAAAAACATGCATTTTTTTTTCTTTTCATATAATAAATAAATACATAGACATTTTTCACATGTTTCATTCTTTTCCATGATATTACATTAATTGAATTGAAGAGTCTGTTGGAGCAAAAATTATTCAAGTAGCAAATAAACCTTTTCAAATTGCCACATAGGTCAACAAACTTTAATTTGAAGAGTTTAATTTGCTACTACCATTGGAGATGGCCTTCTCCAACAAACTTCAATATGAAGAGTTTAATTTGCTGCGATTAGTCATGAATTGGAGATGAATTAAATTTATATGAATTTAAGATAGGCTTGACATCTTGTTTGAATAGATTGAATAGAGGCTTGAGAGCTACTAAAGAGAGGCTTGGGTTAGAAATATGGGTGGAAGGCTGGGAGCTAGTGTCAAAATTGAAACAGTGAAATTTTCTGAACCCTTTCCTTCTATTGGGTGAGTGTGAGAGCAGAGAATAAAAGACGAGGAGACTAATTAGTTTAATAATTTTTAAAGTATAAGCAATGGAGCAAACAAGCGAGGAGGGCTAGCGTGGAAGAAAGAAAAAAGTCTTATCTAAATTACACAGGCGCAATACCAATTTCTAGATAGAAGTCACAACTAGCAGTCTTTCTTTCAATTTTTGAATGAAAGTTGCTAAATCCCTGGGATGAGGGTCTACATTGGAAGAACCCTTGATAAAACTGTGGTGGATAAGCTAGAATTTCTGCTATCTGTACATATATATCTTGATTTATAAAGGGTCCTCGGGCGATTAGTGCCTTTGCAGAGGCCTGTGTTTTATAAAACACGCTTGAATATAGCATTTACGAATCTTAGTGGATAAGGAATTCAGTACAAATATTTATTCTCAAACCGAAGAATATTTTACAAGCGAAATACTAATTCAAATTGTAGGAGGAAGAGAAATAAAATAGGATACTAGTTTCTTAGAAGAATAGGCTCTTTCATATAATTCAGCACTCACACAAATAACAATGATAAAGGACCTATTTAAATACTTCTCTTATATCTTAGACTCTTTATCAACCCACTAACTCATAAAACTGACAATTTATTCAATTCATTAATACATGAACTTATTAAATCATAGAATAAGAAAAGACTCAACATATTGAAACTTCTTGAATGCAATAATGATGCATATTTGGTTTAATTCTCCAACACAAATCACATAAGGAAATATTATGTTCTTATAGCAGAGCTATCCAGCCTTTTCAACATCAACCCTTGTCTTCATTAGTTCGGTTATACACTCGTCGACTTCGCCTTTCAAACCCTCAATTTTGTTCATAAATGACTCCAACTTCTTCTGAATATCCTTCATTGTGACATTTATATGTTCCTCAGCAATTGCAAAGTCTGATTGGCCCAAGCTTGAATCAATCTCGTTGACAACCAAATCAATCAGATGCTTAATGTTGCCCAACCCGTAATAGTGTTCAACTTGATTCTCTTCATTCTTCAACTCCATAGAGGCAAGTGAAGTGAGCATTTCTTCAACTTGCTTCTCTTTTTCCTCTGAATTATTTGCCCATTTTTTTAAACTAGAGGAAATCCAATGTCTTCCTTGCATTAACACCCCACTAGTAGCAGCAAGAGCTGCTGCTACTGCTGCAGTCGTTGGACAAACTGTACTTGTTGTTGCTGCTGCCACAGACGCAGCTAACATCCCAGTCACAGAACTGATGAATAACGTATTCGTAGCCACCCTACAAGCAATAGCAGCCTGCTGCTTCCTGTCAAGCTTCTTTTTCTGGACTGTCAAATTCTCAAGCAATTGTTGATGCATCGTGATCAAAGGTTGAACCTTCTGGAGCAAGCTTTCAGCCAAACTGCTACGGGCAGCGGCCTTGATATTCTTCAGTTTCTCAGATATCCTCTTGTAGTGGTCATGAGTAGTTGAACTAGTACCACTGTCTTTCGGGTTTTCCTGTATATCAAAATATTCTTGAACAACAGTTTCAATAGACGAATGGATGTCGAAAGCTGACCGTACAAACTTGTCCAATTCCGATAATAAATCCAGCATCTCCTGGCTATTGTCTTTGTACTCGTCCACAACGTTCTGAAATCTGCTGTTTTTCCTCTTATCCTTTTTCAATTGCTCGATAAAGTTCACAGTCGTCTGGTTCCACACCTTCACATAATTTACGACATCTTTCAAGTATTCCGTTGAAATAGCTCCGCTACTCGCAATGTTGGTGTCAAAGGATTGCATGTCTTCGTCATGCTTCCAATCCTCCTCATCATGTGCTCTAAGCAATCCTGCATCTTTATCACGAATGTTTCTAAGGAGCTTGCTAGTTAACTCTGTCGCTCTCTTCCTCATTTTTGCTAAAACACCTGTGTTGAAGTTGTTGAGCAAATTTAGAGTATAAAACTATAATATAGACTTGTTGGAGACAAAACAAGTAAACAATTTACTTGTATTAGATTATCGTTTACACTAAAACAAGGAAAAAAATGTAAACTCAATTTGGCAGAAGAATCGTTAATTAAAAGGGCTTCTTAGATCTAGATCCAAAACTATTACCTGCCATTGGGTTTAATCCATGCATTTTTGGTTTTAGATGTAGGTCCTTTGATATTTATTACTTTTTTTATTGTGTCAATTTTACCCTTTGATGTAAATAAGGAAAACACATTGAAAATATAAATTTAATGCATTATTTCCTTGTAATTGCATTTCAGAATTTAAATTTTGAATTATTTCCTTGATAATCGTGTTACCTATAAGTTAGGAACATAAATTAGAAGACTACCTATAAGTCAGATACAAAAATAGACAAATAAAATTTTATGTTACCTATAAAAATTAGAACATAAATTACACATTGTCGAAAATATGAAGGAAAAAAAACACATATATACCTATGCAATAGACAATAAGACAATATATACCTACACCGTAAACAAATGCTTTTTTTCCTTTTTAAAAACATTTAGAGTTCGAAAGAGGAGGAATGTAGGTAAAAATGTGATTTTTAGGATATGTTGCTATATATTTTCCTTTTCTATTCAATGCCAAACGTTGTAAATAGCTAATTATTATGACATAAATGACTATTATCCGATTCAAGCTATAAGGGACAACATTGGAAAAAAAAAATTCAGGTCATAAGGGACAACATTGGAAAAAAAAATTCAAAATAAATAAATAAAAATATTACATTAGAAAATATTAAAAAAGGGATGTAATCCTATGTGGCACAAAAGTCAAAGGACTTAGATCGAAGTTACCAAATCCAAGGATTAAACCCAACTCCTCAATGAGAATTTGGATTTATATCAACTTTTCTAGGGCAGGCTTCTTAGATCTAGATCCAAAACGATTAGATGTCATTGGGTTTAATCCACGCATTTTTTTATTTTAGATGTAGATCCTTTAACATTTATTACTTTTTTTGTTGTGCTGATTTTACCCTTTGGTGTAAATAAGGAAAACACATTGAAAATATAAATTTAATGCATTATTTCCTTGTAATTGCATTTCAGAATTTAAATTTTGAATTATTTCCTTGATAAATCGTGTTACCTATAAGTTAGGAACATAAATTACAAGACTACCTATAAATTAGGAGCATAAATTAGAAGACTACCTATAAGTCAGATACAAATAAAATTTTATATTACCTATAAAAATTCATTTTTGAATATAATTATATCAGATTAGGCCAATATCTCCAGTTAATAAGTCTAGTTTTTCTTTTCTCTTTAGAAAGAACGATTTTCCCGGATTCGTTTATTCAAATGAATCTGATGGCTTAGATAAAAAGAGAAAATAATATAAAATAATGTAAAAGCAACAGAAATTAGACCTTTTGCTGCCTTTTGCCGCTTTAGTCAACAGCTCCCCAACTGATCCCTTGATCAAGCTTTGATCCTACTTCTACGCCTGCTGCAGAACTATTTTAAAAGCAAAAATATTGACTTAATGCCGTGGACTTGGCACCTACTAAGTGGTTGGAAAGTCATGCAAGACTTGTTTGACTGGCTTTTCAGGAAGATAACGAAACCAAAAGAATTGGAACTTTCGGAATTCTAGAAATTACAGCATAAAATGATTCAGCACAAACATACATATAAAATGCTATTCGTATCACCTACAACTTTGCTAACCACTTTAGGGCTGGGCATTCAGACCAAAAACCTGGTCTCTTCAGTTTGATTTACAGTTCAACTAATGCCAGCATAACACAAGTAAATAAGTTGTGGTGCATTCCTAGCATAAGTTGTTTTATTAACTAAGCTGGTTATAATTGTGTTGGAAATTCGGAGCATAACATTTTTGCAAAAACATCACAACTTGTAAAACAGAAAATGACTTGTATGCATTTTCGCATTTTCTGAAAACACGGGTGTCAGTTCCCTTCTAACTCTTGAGGAGTGAACCCCAGCAGGGCCAGTCCTGAGTATTCTAAGGCCCAGGGCGAAATACTAAAATATGCTCTTTTATAAACATAACTACCCTTCTTTCTAAACTAAATAACGGTTTAATAAGATTGGATGTAGATAAATTATTCAATTAGAAAAACAATTAAGCCAACAATTAATTAGAAAAACAGTTAAGTCAACAATTAATACAAATTGGAAATAAAATTTCCAGAACTTAAAGAAAATATATTTGTTTCTCTCCTCTCTCCTAACTCTGCTTTCTCCTTTTGTTTTCAACTCACGGCCACCCACCTGTAAACTATTCTTCTTTGGCAGTGGATAAATGAGAATAAGATACCAGAAATCATAAAGAAAACCATACCTGGAAACTAAGTCCAATATATATATATATATATATATGGAGGCAGATCCATGACACAAATTTTCAATCATTAGATTAGAATGGATTGAATGGCTGAGATTATGTTTCATTAATTACTTAAATTAAATTAAATCTCTAATGCCAAGTAAATTTCATTTTTATTTATTAATTATGATAATCCCTACAATCACTCAATTATCTTTTCCCCCTTTGTTTTCTTGTCATGATTCTTCTCAATTATTAACCTACGAAACCTCACCATTACCTTCCCCTTGCCATTGTCATCTACACCAACCGAGCATTCTTCCACGACATAGAAAATCTGTCTCACGCTACCAATATTGCAGAGAAAATAAGATATTAATATTTAACCAAAAAAGAAAAAGCCCAGATTTGTTGCAATATTTCTTCTCTACCGTTTGGTTTATCTAACTCACTCTCTCTCTCTCTCTCTCTCTCTCTCTCTCTCTCTCTGTTTTTTTTCTAACATCTTAATGGCTTACAAGCTTTTATTCATTATGATTAAAAATAACATTAAAAAATATATGGCAAAAGACAGTTTGCTGTGCAGTTCATTGTGTGTGTGTGGATGGGGTGTTATCCCTAAGCCTTTACTTCGAGAGTCATAATCTATGTATAACTGTAACAACCCAAAAACTAAGCAGTAAAAAAAAAAGCAAAAAACAAAGTTAGGGATAGAGAAGAAAAAGAATCAGAAGTGTAAAGCTTTTAGAAGAAAGAGGAGGAGGATGGGAAAGTCATTAAATGAAGAATTCTAGAGGATACGAAATAGGAAGATTTTATAAAACATTGATTGACAATAGAGAAATAAGAAAGAGAAAGTCAATTAATAATTATTTTTAATATATATTTTTCTTAAAAATATATAATTAGTTTAGTTAATCTTAGCCATTCAATCCATTTCAATCTAATGGTTGAAAACTTGTGTCAAAACTTGTGTCAAAAATATAGTGCCACGGATCCGCCCCCTATATCCGTGGCACTATATTTTTGACACAAGTTGTGACACAATTTTTGGGCCATTAGATTACTCCATTTTCAATGGTTGAGATTAAATATTACATGGCAAGTAGTTTTAATTTTTTTAAATAGACAATCATTAATTTTATTTTCTCTCATAAAAATAAAAGAAAATTTTTCTCTCTCCAACCTTTTTGCTGGAAGACGTAATCCCTCTTGCCTTTTTAATCTCAAATATTTATTATTACTGGAAGACGTAAACGTAGTACCACGGATATTTGTATACTATAAAAAAGGATTATGGGAGAAGTATATCAATCTCTTTCTCTTTTATTTAGATATTTCAATCAAAGTATGTTATTTAATTAGTCTATCTCCATCAATCCTACAAACTAGAATCTCAACAACAACAAAAATAAAAAATAAAAAAAATTACCGAACTTTAATGGAGATATTCATGTTAAATTCAAATTTTTTTCAACTAAAATTGATTTTGAATAAGGGCAATGATGGAAGGGAATAGTTTTCATAAATAATAATTGAATGTGAAAATAAGGTGAGAGAGGGTTCGCTGAAGCAGGAGAGAGAGAGAGAGAGAGAGAGAGAGAGAGAGAGAGAGAGAGAACAGAAAAGAAAGTTGTGTTTGGTTTCTAAGAAAATAATGAAAAGAGAAGAAACTTACAAAGAGAAATATAGTGGGAGTAGGGGGAATGGGGGAAGAAGGTAAGAAAGAGAAGGAGAAAAAGGAAATATATATATATATAAATTTACAAAAATGCTCTTGAGTTTAACGGGTTAATGGGTATTTGCGAATTTACACGACACGACCTGTCAGCTTAACGTGTGGCTAACGGGTCAACACGATATCAACACAACATGATAATTCAGACACAAATACTGAAATTTTTGTCCGAATTCGTGTCGTGTTAATAAGTCGTGTAAAATATTGCTATGTCTAGGCTTGTGCCCTGCTCTCAATGTCCAATTTCAGAAATTTAAATACGAAAGCTTTAGAGCTATATTCCTTAGTTACATCCTTATAAAAAAAAATTATAAAAAAAAAAAAGGAAGAAGTGCATCAACCATAGATTTGCTTATCATTCTACCAGGGCCGGTTGTGAGATTTTGAAGGCCCTATGCGAACCTTAAACTGGAGCCTCACATAAGCTAACATAAACTTACACCATTACGTAATGTCATACAATAATTTTTTTTTCTTAAAGTGACCAAAGTACCCCTACTCCCAAGGGCAAAATTGAAATTTCACCAAAGAATTAAATTTGATTAAATTGATTAAATTGGGTCAGGAATGTTACACCTTTTGAATAATCACCATGATTGTGACGATGAGTCTTTGTCATCATAGATTATATTCAAATACTAAATATTTTTTAACACCTAATTTATTTTGTATCCATATTCCAAGAACATCATTAATTGGATGCAATTTTTTTGGTTGAGTTAGTTGGATGCATTATTTTTGCAAAATTGAATATTTGAGCATATAAAAACAATCATGCACCACTTTACTAACCACATTTTTGATTGAGGTGATCACTATGATTGTGACGATGAGTCTTTGTCATCATAAATCATATTCAAATATTAAATATTTTTTAACACTTGATTTATTTTGTATCAATATTCCAAGAACATCATTAATTGGATGCAATTTTTTTGGTTGAGTTAGTTGGATGCATTATTTTTGCAAAATTGAATATTTGAGCATATATAAAAACAATCATATGCACCACTTTACTAACCACATTTTTGATTGAGGTGATCACTATGATTGTGACGATGAGTCTTTGTCATCATAAATCATATTCAAATATTAAATATTTTTTAACACTTGATTTATTTTGTATCAATATTCCAAGAACATCATTAATTGGATGCAATTTTTTTGGTTGAGTTAGTTGGATGCATTATTTTTGCAAAATTGTATATTTGAGCATATATAAAAACAATTGTGTACCACTTTACTAACCACATTTTTTAATTGAGGTGAGTTGTCACACCCCGGATTGGCTCTGCTGTAACACGATATTGTCTGCTTTGAATATTTTTTTGATACTTATTATTTTTTAAAATTATTTCTTAAAATGTATTATGGTCTAATTATGTAATAACATCAAAAATAATACTTGGTTTAATTATTTTTGTGGAAAATATTATTAAGTTGTGTGACTTTATTGGGTGTTTTATGAATTTGGTTTGATGTGAAAATATTGGAATTAAGTGAGTTTATCTTAAATTTGGACTACAAATATGATTAAGTTTATGATTTTTTTCGAATGAAGTAGGCCCATTCGGCATGGTCCGTTGGGCTTTCTCAAGCCGGGACCATGGGTCGGGCTTGGGCTTTGAATTTTCTAAAAAAACTCGGCTCGCCCCGGCCCAGTATTTTCTCTCTCCTCTTTAAAGCCCGGCCCAGCCCAAGCCCATTAAATTTAGGCCGGGCTAGCCCGGCCCGGCCCATTGACGAGCTCTAGTTCAGTGTGTGGGGTTTTGAAAACAACATAAAAATATAATATTAGAAGTATTAAAAGTAACAAAAGCTTAAGCGGTAGGGAATGGGAAGAGGAATGTAGGCACGCCAATAACACCAAACATGTTATATTATATGTAGTATTTATTATTATTATTATTAATAAAAGTTGAGAAGGTACGAAGAGAGGATTTGTAACACCCCGACCCCAAATTTAATTACCCATTTAAATTATTTAATTGGAATTACGAATTTACCCTTGGGGTAGGGGTAATTTGGTCATTTCTTATCCGGAAGGATTTTGGGACAACAAGTGGTATGGTTACGTAGGTCGTACTGAGATGAGTCCGTAGACACGTAGTGGGCTCAAAACGGAGTTGTAATGAGAGAGTTACGATCAAATGAAACTCAGTGGCATAATCGTAATTATTTTAAAAAGGGATTTTTGATAAAAGTCAGAAAAGCCCTCAGCTCTCTCTCTCTCTCTCTCTCTCTCTCTCCCGCTTCTCTCTCTCTCTCTCCTCTCTCGCAAACCCCCCCCCC